GGTTATGTTTGGGGATGAATGCTACACAGCAACAGCGAATACAGACATGAGGAATTTCCTATTTTCCTGACAATATCACAAATGATTTTAATATTGTATGTTTGTTTTCCTATTTATATTACATCTGTAATCATGAAAAATATTAAATTTTAAGTCAGGCATGGTGGCGCATTCCAGGGGCTGGGGAGGCTGAGGCAGGAGGATTGCAAGTTCAAAGCCAGCTTCATCAACTTAGCTAGACCCTGTGTCAAAAAAAAAAAGGGGGGGCGGCTGGGAATGTGATTGGGTTAAATGCTCCTGCATTCAATTCCTGGTACCAAAGAAAAATATTAAATTTTAAAGTCTTTTAGTTTTTTTGTTTGTTGAGGATCAAACCCGGGACCTCATGCATGCTAAACAAGCACAGGACCACTAAGCTTGTTTATCCCCAGTCCAAAAAAAAAAAAAAAAAAAAAGAAACACAAAAATTTCAAGATCTGTCTACATTAAAACTGAGGCAAAATTGGTCTTTTTCTTAAACTGGTTCCTCCGCCTACAGTATGTTATTTTTCTTACTTCCTGCTCAGGGAAACCAATAGCTACTGAGCACCCACTGTGTGCCCAGATGCGTCTCAGCAGATTCCAATCCTACCAGTGGAATAGAACCCCATCCCTTGGCCTGTCATTCAATACTTATCATTGAATAGAGCATAGTTTTCCCCCTACCCTGAGTACAAAGCTACGTGCCYCCACCCCCAACCTTTCAAAATTATTGAGATAGGGTCTCATTAAGTTGCCCAGGCTGGCCTTGAACTTGCAATCCTTTTGCCTCAGCCTCCCAAGCAGCTGGGATTACAGGTGTACACTTCTGTGCCAAGTGGAGGGAATGGGAACGTGCCAGGCCCTGCAGGTGGCACTGCTGGAGAGCACACAGGCCTGGTTCAAAACACAAATGCTAGAGGCAGATCACCTGCGTTAAAACCCAGCTCTACCATTTATCACCTTGTCATGTGGGCAGATTGCATAATCTTACTGCATTCCTAAGAACAGGGATGAGTAGGGGATAGAAGATGTCTGTGTCCCCCTGAAACGCAATGGCAAGTGTCATGGTGTAAGGAGGCGGGATCTTTGGGGTCCTTATAACCCCCCCCCCACCCAGGAGGAGATCTTCTGCCCCTTCCACCATGTGTGCTACAGCAGGATGACAGCCTCACTAGACACCAGATCTGCCAGTGCTGCAGCATGGACTTCTCAGCTTCCAGAAAGGTGAGAAACTTCGGTTACTTACAAGCCATCCTGAATGCACCCAGACGGCACCCAGCTCATGCAGTGGTGATGATGAGTTCCACGCATTAAGTGCGTGGTCACAGAACGCGTCACACAGGCAACAGCTTCTATCATCGTTGTAAAGGGTCCATTTGGAGCACAGGAAGTGATCTTCTGGTCATTGGCCATTAAATCTGTCCAGATTCTCTTTTCTACAGACTCCCACCTTAAACAACTTTAGTTCACCTATTGTGTCAGTCACCTATTGCTGCATAACACTATTACCACAAATGTAGAATCTTGTTTTTTTCCCCGTGTGGTGCTGGGGATTGAACCCACAGCCTTGTGCATGCAAGGCAAGTACTCTACCAACTGAGCTATATCTCCAACTCACAAATGTAGAATCTTAAAAAACTTTTTAGGGGGGCGGTGCTGGAGATCAAACCCAGGGCCTCTGGAATGCTAGGAAAATAGTCAACTGTTCTACTGCTGAGCTGCACCCCGAGTCGAAAACATTTACTCTTTCCCTGAGTCAGGAGTCTGGCACAGCTTAGCCAGGTCCTCTGCAAGTCCACACCCAAAGCACTGGCCAGGGCTAGATTCCCATCTGAAGGCTTAACTGGAAGAATCTGCTTCTAGGCCCACATGGCTTTTAGTGGCATTCAGTGTCACACATCCTTGGACTAAGAGCGTCAGCTTCGTTTTGGCTGACAGCCAGAGGCTACCCTCAGCTCCTTGCCACCTTTCTTCTTGGGATAGCTCAACAGGGCAGCTTGCTTCTTCAAAGCCAGCAAGAGATGCTGCAGTCCCATGTTACAAAACCGTGGAAGTAAYACCTTCTTGTCTTTACTGGATTCTGTGGGTCACAGGTCTACCCACACTCAAAGGGTCTTACACAGGCTGTAAAGACCAGGAGGGAATCATAGGGGCCATCTTAGTGTGCCACACTTTCTAGCGTATCCAAATCCTCCCCCGCGCAGGAGCTGAGGTCTCACCCCCCCCAAACCCAATGCCCACCTCCTACCATCCACTTGAGCCATCTCCACTGTACCAACTTGTGAGCTCCAGTCACAGTATAATTGAAGAGATGCCCGAGTTGATACTGGAGTCTTTTCCTGGAGACCCTGGTCCTGTAATGGTTTTGTTTTTCTCCAGCTGGAATTCTAGCTGGTGACAGAGCACAGCAAACCAGCCTTTGCCCACCAGGACCCTGGAGGTACTTCTTAGACACTTGATGGATACTTCCTTATTATTTTCATCACCACATGAGCAGCTTCTACGTGTTACCTGACTAGAGACAGAATTAAGGACAAACTATACAGCAGGCACCTGCTCTGGTTTTATGTGAGGCCTGGGCTGAGGAAGAACCTATGGACACACGGCTGACCAGCAGACAGCCTAGATTCAAAGCCCAGGTCTGATTCAGAATCTAAGCACTGACCTCCAACTTGTAATTAAGGGTCTGTCTCCTCTAAGAATGAGCTCTCTCATTTCCAGCCCCCAAGCACTCAGAAGTTCCTCATCCAGATGGGTAGTGAGGGGACATGAAACAGACACCAGAAACTACTCCTGAGGGCTCTTTGATGTAATTATTATTAGTATTCAAGAGGGTTTTCTTTTTTTTTTTTTTTTTGAGTGAGAGAGGAGAGAGAGAGAGAGAGAATTTTCTATATTTATTTTTTAGTTCTCGGCAGACACAACATCTTTGTTGGTATGTGGTGCTGAGGATCGAACCCGGGCCGCACGCATGCCAGGCGAGCGCGCTACCGCTTGAGCCACATCCCCAGCCCC